GGGGGGTGGGGTGGGCAGGCGGAGGCAGAATATTTGAACCCAGGAGGTGGAGGTTGCAATGAGCCGAGATCGTATCGCACTTCGGCCTGGGGTACAAGAGCGAGACTTCATCTCAAAAAAAAAAAAAAAGAAAAGAAAAAACCAAAAGGCAGAGCCTTCCTGACGTTGGTGACCTAAAGTTAAAATACATTTATAAACCTGGTCCTATTCTTCCCAAGCAGGGTGACTCAGATGCCAGCCTGATCGTCGGGAGTGCCCTGAGATCCTTGCCTCCTCCCTGGGAAACCAGGATGTTGCCCTGCACTTTCCCACCTTCCCCAGGCACAACCCTGCCCTGCTCTCCCTGGCGGGCCTGGAGTAGAGCAGAAATGAATCCTGCTTGCCTTCCATGGCTTCTCTCTGCTGCAGCCTCCTGCCTGAAGCTGCTTCCTCCCTCCCGCCCAGCTTGCTGTGAAAGCACGTCCAAATTTGAAAACCATGTGAGATTCAGAATGTGCACCTGAAGCTGCCCCCTGGGTCCTTCTGTGCTGTCAACCACTGCAGAGATCTGGGGTCCTCCCCTCATCCCACTTACCTAACGTAGGAAAAGACGATCACGTGGAAGAACCACTTAATGATGCCATAATTGATGCTCTGGATCTGAGTGACTTTGTTTGTCTCATACTGGAAAACATCACTGCAGCTACAGCAGGCTGGAACGGTCACAGGCTCCCGCCCTGAGTGAGGCTGGACCAGAACTCAGCTCTCTCAGATGGGGCCACAGCAAGCCCCCTACCGGTAACTGCAAAATGAAACATAGTGACTTTTAGCGGGAGCCTTTAACTTTGAGCTCTTCCAATGACTGTGGAGTGGGGGCGGGCCCTGGCAGTTGCCCGAGATGTGACTGCAATAAACGATAAATGAGAAGGGCCAAGTCCTAAGGGCCTGGCTGGCAGATGACCTCGCCCCAGGGGGCCTCCTCCAGATGCCTACACAAAGATGGTGTTCAGAGGATGGGCATTTTTAGAATTCTCTCTTTCCCCCCTTTCCTTTTGCTTTTTTGGACTCATTTCTGTTGGGAAAAGGGGGCAGTCCTGCAAATGTCACAAGACCCAGAGCTTCCATTGTGCCTCAGAAAAGGGCTGAGATCTTTCCATTGCCTTAAGCCTCACTCGGAGATTGATTCATTCATTTCTACAACCATTTATTCAGCCCCTGATGTATAGGAGCTCTGGATAAATAAAGGTCTCTCCCTCTTCTTCTACCAGCCCTTATAATAAATACTCTGGTCTGCAGTTGGTGGGGAAAATCAGATTTGCAGGAGTGGGGATACTAGGGGTGGAGGGGCTTTATTTCTCTGCAGGATCTTTCTTGCTTGACCCTGAGTTACTTTCCACCCTGCTCTAGACCAATCAGCCCAAGATCACGAGGGACCAAGTGGCAGTCCAACAAAGTTAGGTTTATTGATCTACTCCGTGAGGGACACCACCCACCAGAGGAGCCTCAGGACATCACCAAACAAAGGAAGACAGTGATTTGTTATAGGATTCTGAGGAAAGTGGAGTATAGATAAAATCTAAATGAAGTCATGTTTTGATAGACTCAAAGTAAAGGCAGGCTTGTACAAAGCAGTCAACCTCAAATCTGGATTGTAAAGGGGACCCAGGGCCCTGTTTTCTTGGAAGCAACAAAGCTAAGATAAATGTCAAATGTGTCCAGAAACTCTTTATCTGAATCTCTGCTCCTAAGTTGTAAATCGAGGCTGCTTCTCTGTGTCAAGATGACTTAGATTCTACAGGCAAAACTGGTATATTTCAGTCTTAGTCACATAATTTCAAACAGTAAACTTTCTGATGGTCTATGATTTTAAAGGACAATGTTTCAGCAGTCACTCAAAGACAGGGGGTAATATCATCACTTTATAGCTACAGAGAAATATTGTTTCCTGTTATCTTTGCAGCCGACTTGATCCATTTCTGTTATTCCAGCCTGCTAAGTGGCCCGGTAGATTTTTACTTTTCCAGTCTGAGCTAATTTGTATATTCCCACCCACACGAACTGTATCAGGGTCCCCCTTGACCCCTGGCTTCCAGTTCAGGACACTGGAGAGCAGTGAGGATGGACTTGACTCCGGGCCCTACCCTTCTCAGTAGCATGTAGGTGGGGCTTCTGGGCACCACGTCCTCCTTTAGTCCTGGGAATGGTAAGGGTTCCCCACTCTTGCCAGCCCCAGGCAACTCACTATCCCTTATTGCTTTTTCTTTTCTTTTCTTTTCTTTTTTTTTTTGAGACAGAGTCTCACTCTGTCTCCTAGTCTGGAGTGCAGTGGCGCAATCTCAGCTCACTGCAAGCTCTGCCTCCCAGGTTCACGCCATTCTCCCGCCTCAGCCTTGTGAGTAGCTGGGACTACAGGTGCCCGCCACTACGCTCAGCTAATTTTGCTTTTATATTTTCAGTAGAGACGGGGATTCACCGAGTTAGCCAGGATGGTCTCGATCTCCTGACCTTGTGATCCGCCCACCTCAGCCTCCCAAAGTGCTAGGATTACAGGCGTGAGCCACCGCGCCCCCCATTATTGCTTTTTCTTAACTCTGCCCACACCTTTGTAAATGGTCCCATCATTAGTTACCCCACTTGAGTATGCCATTGCTTTCCCACCAGGAATCTGAGTGATACAGTCATCTTCATCCGTAAAAAGAGAAGATTCACAGGTAAAGCCTGATGCTTAAAACATTGGCCTGGCCATGCAGGGTGGCTCACACATGTAATCCCAGCACTTTGGGAGGCCAAGATGAGCAGATCACTTGAGGTCAGGAGTTCCAGACCAGCCTGGCCAACATGGCGAAACCCCATCTCTACTAAAAATATAAAAATTAGCCAGACGTGGTATCAGACACCTGTAATCCCAGCTACTCGGGAGGCTGAGGGGAAGAGAACTGCTTGAACCCAGGAGGCAGAGGTTGCAGTGAGCTGACATCACGCCACTGCACTCCAGCTGGGGTGACAGCAAAACTCCCTCTTAAAAAAAAAAAAAAAAGAACATTGGCTCTAGGGGACTAATGGTCTGACTTCCAATCCTGATTTCACATCTTACCAGCTCTGTGACCATGGACAGCTCTGCTCGTTTTATTCATTCACTCATTCATTCATTCATTCCCAAGAGCACCAAGAATAGTGGGTACAGCAGTGAACAGGCAGACAAGTCAAATGTCCATCCACTGACAAATGAATCCACAAAAGGGGGCTGTCCATAAAAGGGAATATTATTCAGCCTTAAAAAGAAATGAAGCGGCCAGGCGCGGTGGCTCATGCCTGTAATCCCAGCACTTTGGGAGGCCGAGATGGGCGGATCACGAGGTCAGGAGATCGAGACCATCCTGGCTA